GTGTGTGTGTGTGTGTGTGTGTGTGTGTGTGTGTGTGTGTGTCTTCCAAGGTCAAAAATGTTTTCCAAAAATAAGGTAGTGTGATTATAGTGATGAATTGTGATGTAAGGTTTCTATTACTTTATTAGAAATACTATGATATATCATAAAACTATTTTTACTCTTTCTTACTAGTAAAGAGAATAAAAAGAAACAAAAAAGAGACATCATTTTACTTTGGGGATATGTTTTAAATCAGCATGAAGGTATAGTCAGCAAACAATGTCATTTTGCTTCCTCTTACTCAGAAAAATAAGCAAAATAATATATTTCTAGCTTTTCAGTCTTGAAAAGTGTTTGAAAGGTCACATTATCTAAACTCCCACTGAATACATTAATCTGCTGTACCATATCCAAATGTTTGAATGGCTCTCACTTCTGTGACACAAATTTAGTAATTTGAATAATCCATTATACTTTTACAGGACACTGCTGAAATGCTCTTTCCTACATACAATCAAGGACCTTATAATTCACACCTATTTCTCCTTTATTAAAATAGTCCCATGGCTAACCGGCAACCCTCAAACACTGAAAAACAGCTGCTCCAAGGGTCCTCAGTTATGGCTCCCATTATATATCAAAAAACTGATGTTATTTCAGCTTTTATCATCTGGGCATATTATAATGTGTCAGCTAACTATTTAAATATTTGGGAGAGAGAACACACTAGGCCTGATTGCGTGAAATAGAACAGAACACTCTGGCCCCTCGTTCTGGACAGTTCATTACCCATCTATTAGAATATAAGCTTTAGCTCTTAAAAATCAGTGTTGATTATTAGGCCTTTTTTCTCTTCACTAAATAAGCACTTAAGGTGCATCTTTCAAATAATGAAAATATATGAATAATAATAAATAATTATGTTTGGGGAGCCCTTACTTGGCAATTTATAATATTAAAATTATAGTGTAGAATATAACCTAGCTGGTCATTTTCCCCCACATATGTGTAATCCTACTTTGTCAGTCATTTCTTCCTCTTTTCAATCATCTATGAATTTGATTAGCATGGTTTAAATATTTGTTTCCAATTCATCATAAACCAAGGAGCCTTGTGCCCTATACTAGAGAATTTCCAGAATTAAATGCACACATTATTTTAGCTTCACTGAATTAGACAAAAAACATAAAATATTTCTTTCCAACATAAGTATTTCATAAAATATTTTGTCAAATTCCATTTTTCTTGCATGTAACTAGCTAGTTGTTTCATTTATGCCTTTATTGATGATCATGATACACTGAATTTGTGTTTATTTTATATTCCTACCATAGTATTAATAGCAAACTTATTTTGGTCTCATTATTATCAATTGACCTATCATGAAGCCTCCCATACAATTCAGTAATACATCAAGTGGGCATATACATACACACATACATAAATATTCAGGAATGAATTTATATTTTGCAACCTTATGTAAACCCAGGCAAGTTAATATTATATGGCTATATAAACTGAACTTAGGACTGAGTTTCCAATTAGTTTATTCTTTGCAATTTCACAACATAGCATAAAATTTCCAGAGAACATATTATCACATATGTATTGTGAACTAAGTGTATTAACCCCACTCTTTAATTAGAGTGATAATCAAAGAAGGTTAATTAGCAATATTTACAGATTAACATTGTTCTAATCTAATTTCATTTTTGAGCCATGTGGTCTCATAATGGGAAAAACCAATTTCCAAACATCTCTGCTTTATTTTTAAAGCAATGTTGATTTGATTCCCAAGTCCTTTTTAAAATGTGCACATTTACCTTTCTTCCTGTTAAAAGCACGGTTCATGATGAGGCTCTGTCAAATAAGCGTTCAGTTCAATCACAGTTTGTATCCTACAAAAATGACAAAGATTAAAACATTTTGAAGGACTGTTGACCAACTTCTTGTGTTAATATATTTTACAAACCTTTTTAAATTTTTTTTAAATATATACAAACAATATTCTAAAATGTATTAAGGGACAATGAGTAAGAATAATATTATGATTGGCACAGAGATGAAAAACAATATATTAAGTAATATTGGCTAAATTATGTTGTTAAATGGAGTACATGTACGAACAAGTAACAACAAATCCCATCAGTACATGCAACTATAATGCACAAATAAAAAAAATTAAAAAAAAATTTCAATTGAAATTCTATGAATTGTTTAATGTTTATTTTTTACTACTATATCTATCTATCATTAATTATATTTATCTGAAAATTTAATGAGAAAGAAGATCAATACTTTTCACTGCACTTGTTGGTAAGAAGTATGGTCAAATTTGGGGCTCCCGTTAACAGTATTTGTAGATAAACAAAAGCTTTTCAATTGTTCCTTTAGGAATAAAATCTCTTTTGTAAATCCACTCAAACATATAAAGACATATATTTTTTATTTCACTGAGCCCATAGGGGTTCCATGATGTTTTCAAAGTTCCCAAAGCAGGTGACACATCTGCAGTACTGGTTATAAGGCTGCTTTGCACTTTAGGTGAGGCAGGAAAGCATCTGGTGCATACTGAGTTCAGAAAGTATCAGCAACTGTAACTGTGTTCCATACAGCACAGGCCCCAAATCTTCTTTATATGCATTATTATTGATGACAGAGGTCTTGTTAGTGTTCAATCAGTGTTATGTTTTCCTATGAGAACTCTTCATCAAAACCAGTAGCTTGATTAGGGGACTTTATGGTCTCTAAAGAGGTTGTGCAATTGAGAGATTTTCATTTTATTTATCCAGGGTATTCATGTAAGAAACAAATGCTTTATAGATTTTGTGCTCAGAAACTCATAGACAATACACATTAGGGACTTGGAAGGCAAGTAAGATTCAATATTTACTAGTACTTCTTTATAATCTATATTCAGAGTCCATGAAAGAGCTATCTTGGTGGTGAAACAGGCAAAAGTAATGCCCTTGCTGCTCTGGCACATAAATATTCTTGAACTGGAAAACCTCTCACTTTTATTTCCATTATATTTCAAGGAAACTCAACTTTGTTAGAATTAAAAAATAATATTCTTTCCATAAGTTGCATTTCTCACATTTCTGGATTAATTCAACTCCATGAAATAAAAATATCTCTTTAGTAATCTGCTCTCACAATAATTCAGAGACCTGCTCCAAGAGAAATTAAAGGCCATTCCTGTGCTTGTTTAAGAGCCCAGTTCTATGGACTTATGTTTTCAGGTAACAGGAAAGTAACTGAACTTTGGGTAAAACCCTCCCCACAACTGCCCAGACATTTCAGTTGATAGGATACAAGTGACCACGAGCAATACATGATTCTGAAATACCTTCCCCCATTCTACTATGAGATTCAGAGACTTAACACCACTTCCTGCTCAGAGACCCTCATGATAATTTGGTCAAGTTCTTTATTACTAAATATACTGGTCCACACAAGAAGCCAGGGTTCCCAGGCCACTCTCCTCACTCAGATTCTGATTCTAATGCACTGCACTCTGTAATCACATCTGTCCTCTCTCCCATTTTCTGGAAACATTTTTTCTGTCATCTGGCAGTCACAGGAAATCAATATCAAAATAATCTTGCTTTTTTTTCCCCCAGAAGATTCCCATCACTTTGCTGCTCTTAATTCTAGTTGTTGTTTGAGGAAACTGCTTCCATTTTAGTCCTCACAAGAGTTCAGAGGGTTTTTCCCCACAGATAGTATTCCAATGAGGATGTAGGTCTTGTTTTTTAATCCAATCTGCCACCCTATGCCAAAATTGAATCAGGAGGACATAGAAAATTTAAAACAGATCAATTTCAACCAATGACATTGAAGACTCCATCAAAACCTACCTACAAAGAAAAACCCAGACCAACTGAGTTCTACCAGACCTTCAAAGAAGAGCTAACCCCAATCCTCTTCAAACTCTTCCATGAAATAGAAAAGGAGAAAACCCTTCCAAACTCCTTCTATGAAGCTAGCATAATCCTATACCAAAACCAAACAAAAACACATCAAGGAAAGAACCCTTTAGACCAATGTCCCTCATGAACATAAATGTAAAAGTTCTTAATAAAATGCTGGCAAATCACACACAAATCATATTAAAAAGATAATGCACCACAATTAAATGCGGTTCATCCAGAGATGCAAGGTTCTTTCAACATAATTCATCACATCAATAGAGTTAAAGACAAAAATCACATTATTATCTCAATAGATGCAGAAAAAGTATTTGAGAAAATACAGTATACATTCATGTTCAAAACAAAAGAAATACTAGAGATAGTAGGAACACACCTCAACATTGTAAAAGTCATCTGTTAAAACCAAGACCTTTATCTTTTAAACGGAGAAAACTTAAAAGCATTCCCTTTAAAAACTCAAACTAGGAAAGGATGCCCTCTTTCAGCATTTTTATTCAACATAGTCTTGAAATTCCAGCCAGAGAAGTTAGGCAAACAAAGAAATTAAAAGGATACAAATAAAAGAAGAAGAGCTCACTCTCTATTTGCTGATTACATGATTCTATGTTTAGAAGACCCCCCCCCAAAAAAAGACTCAACCAGTAAACTTCTAGAAGTCAAACAAATTAAGCAAAATAGCAGGATCTGCAATTAGGACCATAAATCAATTGCATTCCTATATACCAATGATGAATCAGCTGAAAGAGAAAGCAGGAGGACTATTTAATTTACAATAGCTTCAAAAAAAAAAAAAAAAACAACCTTGGGAATCAATCTAACAAAAGAGTTGAAAGACTTCTACAATGAAAACTACAAAACACTAAAGAAAGAAATTGAAGAAGACCTTAGAAGATGGAAAGACCTCCCATGCTCTGATAGACAGAATTAATATTGCCCAAATGGCTATACTACCAAAAGCACTATACAGATTTAATGCAATTCCTATTAAAATTTCAATGATGTTCTTCATAGAAATAGAAAAAGCAGAAATGAAATTCATTTTGAAAAACAAGAGGGTAGAAGAAACAAAGTAATCCTTAGTGAGAAAAGGAAAGCAGGAGCATCACATTATCAGACCTTAAATTTTATCACAGAGCTATAGTATGAAAGTGGGCATAGTATTGGCACAAAAACAGACCAATGGAACAGAAGACGCAGGGATAAACCCACATAAGTACATTTATCTCATACTACACAAAACTACCATAAACATACATTGGAGAAAAAGAAGCCTCAATAAATGGTGCTGGGAAAGCTGAAAATCTATATGAAACTGAACTTCTATCTCTCACTCTACACAAAACACAAAGTACATCAACAACCTAGGCATTAGACCATATTCCTGTACCTACTAGAAGAAAATGTAGGCCCAACTCTCCATCATGTCAGCTTAGGAACTGAATTCGTCAACAAGACTCCTAAAGCACAAAGAGTAAAATCAAAAATCAGTAAACGGGATGGTTATCAAACTGAAAACTTTCTTCACAGCAAAGGAGACAAACAAGAATGTGAGCAGAGACCTACAGAATGGAAGATAATCTTTTCCACCTGCACCTCAGACAGAGCATTAATCTTCAGAATATAAAAAGAACTCAAAAAACTTAACACAAAACCAAGTAATCCAATCGATAAGTGGGCACAGGGACTGAATGGACACTTCAAAGAAGAAGAAACAGGAATGGTCAACTAATATAAAAAAATATTCAACATCTCTAGCAATTAGAGAAATGCAAATTAAAACTACACTGAGATTTTCATCTCACTCTAGTTAAAATGGCAACAACCAAGAATATAAGCCACAATAAATGTTGGCAAGGATGTGGGGAAAAAGGTGCACTAATACACTGATGGTGGGTCTGCATATTGGTACAACCATTCTGGAATGTAGTATGGAGATTTCTCAAAAAACTTGGAATGAAACCACCATCTGACCTGGTCATACTACTCCTCAATAAAAATCAGCATACTACAATGATGCAGCCACATCAATGTTTACAGCATTTCAATTCACAATAGCCAAACTATGGAGCCAACATAGATGCCATTCAACACATGAATGGATAAAAAAATATACACACAGAAATATTACTCAACCATAAAAAGACTTATTTTATGACCTTTGGCAGTAAAGCATGGATCTGCTGACTATCATGCTAAGCAAAATAAGCCAAACTCCCCAAAAATCAAAGATTGGATGTTCTTTCTAATGTGTGGATGCTTACACAGAATAATTAGGGGATTGGAGAGGAAGAGTAGAAGTTCAGTGGATTAGATAAAGAGGAATAAAGGGAAGCAGGGGGTATAGGAATAGGAAAGACAATAGAATAAATCAGACATAACATTCCTGTATTCATATATGAATACACTGCAGTGAAACTCCACATATGTACAATCAAGATAATGTGATCCTAATCAATAAATAATCCAATCAATAAATGGGCATGTATGTATAATATGTCAAAATAAAGTCTACTGTCATGTATATATAAAATAATTTTTTAAATAAAACAAAAGAACTAAAGATGCCTTCAGGAGATCCTGCTGTCGATTGGAATGCATTCTGATCAAATAGCTAAGCCTAAACAAAGAGTTTCCTACAAAGATTAGAGAAAACAGACCTTATAAGTAACATGGAAGCTTACAACAGGGGGGGAAATTTTCATATTTCATAAGACATCAATTAGTAAGAAACATTTCTATTAATAGGGAAAATTAATGGTAGAATAAATGTTGTTTTGGTCTCACTTACAAACATTCAGAACAAGATCATAAATTTTTTCCAAGTAACTTCATGTATTTCAAAACTATGCCCAATGATATTGTAAAAAATAAAAAAAATCAGCATTCAAAATAGTAAAATACACAAGGAAAAGTATCTTCAATAGCAATCTGGCATGCAAAGAAATAGAAAATACAGTCCATAA